ACCGGTACTTTATTGGACCACCTCATTTTTGAAAGTTTTTTTCATGAATTATTATCACTTATGGTTGTGTCTTATTACTTGATTAATTACTCGAAAAAACCCTATTGTAATTCGAATTTATGGATTCTTTTGTTATGTTTACGTTGTGGTTTAAATTAACTTAACTATAGTTAGTTTAATTGAGAAGGTTGTACTTGCACGTAGGTGCGTACAATGATGGATCTTAATGACGGACAAGAGCGATTATTCTTTCTTATTGTACTAGTATTAGTTAGCCATAAATAACATGTAATGACCCAACCCCTTCAAATTTATAGCGAAAGGATGTGTCTCTATGTACCTTTCCCACTAGACAAATATGAAATATCTTAGATCTAATTCTAAAATATGTAATTTGTCGCATTTTAATCTTTAATATTTTTATTATATTATTTTAATTTTTAAAATATTGAATATATTTTTATATGGTCCTTCAAACAGACAATACTCAATATAGATAAAAAAATAATTTGAATAATTCTTGACCAAGTGGTAATACGAAGGTAATTCAAGTGGTAATATGAACTACCTATAAGTTCAGATGTCCTGAGTTTAAATATTAACAACTCCTTATGACCATAGTATGAAAGATTTATTATTCATGAATATTCTAATCTCGACATAAATAATCTATCTTTAACTGAAATAGAGAAAATATTAATTAAAATATGTGTAAGTTGACTCTAACACACGATTGATAAAGAACTATTGAATGCACCTGCACAACCGGAATATGAATGGCCGTTGAAGAGTAAGCATAGAAAATGGCCTCTCAATTATATAGAGATATTAAAGAGGGAGGAGGTGAGACTTGAACTTAGACATTCATCACGGGAGGTATAATCAGTTACCGTTGCCCTGCCCTGCCTTGCCCTCCACCTATATTATAACTTAACCACCAAATTAAAGTTTCTGTGGATGCACAGTCAAACAGATACGTCATTTCTACCTGTACCACTTTTATCAACCCAGCAATAATTTTGCCTTGTTGTCTTGGAAAATACTATATAATATTAAAAATTTGACTAATCTTATAATTTATATTAAGATAGATGAAAATTAAATTAGTCTTAATCGTTATTATATTTTTATTAGTTAAGAATTCAACTTTTTAATCATAATATTAAAAAAAGATATTTCGGGCGACAGGCAAATATGTATATATCTGTTCAAATACAAAATAAATCATTTTAATCACGTTACTCAAATTTTAATAAAATGACTCAACCCCAGAAATAATGCAGGTTTTCCACTTGACTCTTTGCTCTGACTAGTAAGATTGATGTTAAAAGGCCATACAAGCATGCTTTATGCATGCAACACGGTAAGAAATAATTCAAAAAGGGTTTTGGTTAACGTTTTAATCTCGTGTCTCTTATATTTTACTATGCAAGCATAAGAAACAAGATTAATACCTCTAAGTGGTCAAAATTAATTAACTAAATATTTCGGACATCCATGACCGTTGAATTAAAAAAAAAAACTAAGCATACCCATCTACAAGATGTCCCGGAGAAGCCAAAGAGGGGGCCTAATGAGGGATATGTGAGAGGCCAGTGGGTTGGACTTGAAAAGGTGAAAAAAATAATCTGCAGATCACATGTATTGCGTTCCATCCGAACTACCCAATGGTTTTTCTTAAAAAAAAAAAAAAGAAATTAAAAACAAGGAAAGGACACCTTAATTTAGATGGGGGTGGGGGATAACAATGCAAAGTTTCTTGTCAACTACTTAGATGTACAGGCATGACCTAGAGAAAGAAACTCATGGACAGCCATGCCAACCACTACTCCATTAGTTTGGCAAATTGAAGACTCCAAAAGAGACGTAATGAACAAAAAAAATAATATAAATTAGAATAGTCGGCATCAAACTCTCCCATTGGAGTATATAAATGTGAAAACCTAAAAAAGCAGATGGCCTAACCCTATCAATAATTATTGATAGATAGATGGGATAAAAATTAGCTGGTAAGATAAGCATGTCATGAGGGTCTTTTGTCCCTACCACATGGTGTGTCACATTAGCAGACAAGTTGGAAATTTAGGACAGCTTTTAAATGTTGTGTTTCGGCAGGTAACTTAGATGGAAAATACCAGCTAACTTTGTCGGTATATTTGTCATTATTTTTGTGGGACTTAATTTTTTTTTTATTAATATTATTCGATAGTAAGGTATATTTGATAAAAAAAAAAGAAGAATATATTTGATGTATTCGATTGAGACTTATTATATTTAAGTAAATATCCTACCAAACATATTGTGGGGGATTTTTCACTGAGTAAAATTTACAATTAGTGCATCAGAAGTAAGTCTATCAATGTAAATCTCAAGGGGTTAACTTAAGTAGTAGTTGGCCACTTGATAAATGCCTTAAGGTGAAAATATTTCTTCGGGTTACTTCTCCTAGATTTCACCCTTGCGTGTGAAGAGGAGGCTTTGCATGTGAGCTCGTATTGACTACTCGCTACGGGTTCAAATGGGCTTTGTTGGTGGGGTCCCTCTTGGGTTATCAAAAAAAAGAAAAGAATAGTATTATGTCAATGTATTGAATTTTTATATCAACCTATTTTGATTCATATCTGATTAGTCACTTTGAATTTTTATGTTTTTGATTGATTATTCGAGTCTGTTTTATTATCTTTTATGAATTCGAATATGAATATATGAATATTCGATTTGATAGTGACTCAAATTAGAAATGTCTTTTTGTTAAATGATATAGAAAACTTGCATAATTATTTGACAAAATTGAGTAAAAATTCAAATATAATTTGCTAGAATTTTGCCTTTTTTGAGTTATTCGGTTCAAATAAAATTTTTTCGGATAGAATTTAGAACTTTTAATTGATTTGGGTATTGACTATGAACATACCATGGTATATTGATTGCCTCATCTCTTTCCTTTGTGTGTGAAAACTTGTGCAAAGCATGTATCCAACCCATCAAGTTCCTTTATCTTTTCACTTTTCTTTTGTCTGGCCCTTTTGCTTTTTCTTTCTTCCATCTCTCTTCTTCTTCCTTCACCCGGCTTTTTCCGTGCAAACCCCATTTGATTTGATGCTCTACGACCATGTGGTTGGTAAGAAAACCCCATGTGAGAGATGAAATCTTAACTAAATAATTCCATCACTACCAATTTCCAAACTCCTTTCGTCTTTTTCCGCACACACACATAAGCTTGTTCTGAACCTCCCTTGATAACATCTGTAGGATGTTTTTTTTTTTTTTNAGCTTTAAAAACAATCACCAAACAAATAAAAAAAATAAAAGAAAATAGAAGTACTTGAACAACCAAGAACCCACTCAAATCGGACTTTATTCCGGGTCTGGGGGCACATTCAAATCCAAACCCACAACATTTTCTTCCCCACTTTCCTTTCTCTTACTTTTAACGTCGTTAAGTTCTTCGGAACACTCCCACTCTATCCTCCGCCTCAACCTCGACCCTTTCTCCGTCAATTCACGACCGTTAACATCACCGTCATCACCTATCTCGAAATAGCTGGTAGCCACTTGTATCCTTCGGAGAATAGCAAAGAATTCCTCAACCTCGTCCTTCGTCGCCTCCGTCTTTTCTCCGTTGCCTTCTTCCTTCGCCTTCTTCTTTCTCGACCCTGAAACGGCGTCGCCTTTCCCCTGCTTCCTCTTCTCTCTCTCCTCCTCCATTGACGCCCGTAGCTTTCAAAGGTGACCCAATCAGGATTACGATTTAAAGGACACGACAAAACTATTGTCCTTCACTATATCACCCAGAAAGTGCTCAAGCGACATGGATTCAGTTATAGGTTTATAAGAGCCATTAGGAATCGAAAGAATAGAGGAAGCTGCGTTGTGATTGGATTGGGGTAGGGTTTCTGGGACAGGAATCTTTGGGGATTTAAAATGCGGAGATATACATCCGAAAGCAATGATATTAGAACCTAATTTGTTGACCTAATTCATTATGATTTTTGAATTGACCAGGAGTACTATCAAATATTAAAGGATTAATCTCATTTTTTACCTGGAAAGATTGTTCGAATCTTAATTTGCAGCCTTAAAGATCAAAAATTTTAATTTATACCCTCAAAGATAGAAATTTGTATCAATGTGCACCCTCAAAGATAAAAAATCTCAATTTGCACCCTCAAAGATAGAAATTTGTATCAATGTGCATCCCCAAAGATAAAAAATCTCAATTTGCACCTTCAAAGATAGAAATTTGTATCAATGTACACCTAAAATTAAATTAATAAATTATACTTTGATCCCCTCATGTTTATCACTTAATCATTTGAACTCCTTCACATTTAGAATATTTTCCTTACATCTCATGACGTTTATGCTTGTGTAACACATAACCACTTTTCGTTGATAT